CATGACTAGTAACTTTGGCTGGTGTGTGGGGGGGTTTGGTTCTCTACTTGAGTGCACCAAGACAAACACAACAATTGTGGTTGCGTGTTGAGCAGATGTTGAAAAAGGGGTGTTTGAGGCTGGCAATGACATTGAATTTAAAGTTTGGTCTGTGCCTTGTTTTGATTTGGGGTAGTTTAGGTACCTCAAATGCAAAAGCAATACAAGGAAGGGAAATCAGAACCTAACTCTTATACTAATTGATGTTAAGCATGAAAGTGGAATGAGAAAAGGAAGAGAAAGGAAAAAAAGAGAAAGAAAAGAGATGCAATTTTATTTAATAGTCAAGTCTTGAATACAACAAGGTAGTGCATTTGAATTGATGTATTTGAATTTTAGATTTAAAATATTGCATTTCAATTTTCACAATTGCAATTCATATATTTAAAATATTTTGTTTCGATGGTTTAAAAAAATTTCAAATAATGGAAAAGAGAAATAGTTGGGATTCGAAACAAAAATAGAAAATTGGAAATGATGAGTTCATCTATATTTTTTAACTGACAAGTGATGAGAAAATATGGAAGTCATAGTTATATCAATAATAAAAAAGCATAGAGAACGAGATGTTTTACGTTATTAGAATTTTAAATGATGATTTACACTTGAATTAAATTCAAATTCACAAAAATTTGTTCATTCAAATGAGGGATTTGATTTAAATCCAAATACAAATCTTTATTAATGCAAACACAAAAATTCTACTCCAATAATCTGGAACGTAACTGATGAAGTTCCTTGGCCGAATAATACTTAACTGTCAATGACCACACAAGTTTTGAATCTTCTCATTAATTGATTAGTTATTTTCTTGAACTGAGACCATTTTCCAATCTTCTAAAGAAGCTGTCGAGAGTAAATAGTAACTCTGAATGCACGAAAAAAGATTCCTTAAAAAAATCATATCCGAACAATAAGTTTGATTTTTTTTTTTGGGCCAAAAGTTTGATTTGATTTACTCGGTTAATCCAATTGAAGCATTATTACTGTAACCAATAATAAATTTATAAAGGTCATTGCACTTCATTGAAAATTTGTTTGTAGATAAATAATAGAAGCTAGCTACTGCTATATTATAATATTATCTACTGCATTGAATCTAAATATACGCATTGATCAATAATTCAATATTAGATAATGTTTCTTGGAGCTTTCATGCTTAATTTGGTCAAATAATTTGCGCGTCACCATCTCAGATCTATCAATAAGATAATTGAATAGACCATGCAACATTGAATGGATATTCTCCCAAAATAAGCTAATGTAAACTGCTTGAATTGTTTTTGATAGATGAAGAGCCAGGCAGAACTACTGACAGCAATATGAACAAAATCCTGTGTTGGTGCGGCTTTTGGATTCGGATGCGGACGTGCCCCTTAATAGTTGCCGAGCATGCCATATAAGTAAACCTCATTAATGCGAGGAGTGTATCAAACGATTGTGAATTCCTAAAGTTCTTGACTACAATTTTCTTGAAGTGCTAAAGCTTAAATAAAAGAACTAAGATATGCTAGAATGCATAAGAGATGAGATTGCATTACTGAAGAGTAATTACAATGGTGCTCCGATGAATAGAGGGAAATGCACAATGAATAGCCTATAAGGTCTAAGCTTGGATTGTCTAGGGTCATGCCCAGTGACGTTTGGTTGACACAAGATCAATTTGAGATGTTGCACTGGGTAAGTTGATTTTAAGGTTGGTGTTGAAGTGTTCAAGAGAGGCCGTTTTCAGTTATGTGCTCCAACGAAACACAGCATTCCAATAAACTCATCCTTAGGGTCTGGTTTATATTGAGCTGCCATCGTTTCTTTTGAATTGGGCCTTATATTTGCTCTTCGGCCTAATGCATCAAATTCAGTCCCAACAAGAAGTTTTTTTTTTTTTTGCTAAAAATTAAAAAGAACTATTTAAAAACATTTAAATCTAATGCACTTACCTAAGCAATATTTTTTATTTTTTGTTTTTTAAAAATAGAAAATAATTTTTAAAAGCAAAAATCAAACATCCACTTAAATTTACGTTACGTTTAGATTCATAGAAATTTGGATTTGGTCTAAATCTATCATTTGGATATGCAAAAAGTTGTGAATTTTGATTTATTCAAATTCAATTCTATTTGTTATAACAATTGACTTATAATTTTAAATTCTCTCTAGTTCCAGCCACTTTAAACATTTCATTCTCTTTACATTTTTATTATTGATACCTCTATTATGTGGATGGAATTTAATTAAAAAATTTTTTATCTGCATAACTTTTTTTGATTAATTTTTCTTCATAACTTATATGGACCTTAATTGAAATTTTTTTTCTCCATAACTTATCAATTTATTTTATATTTTTAATTTAAAATTAACACTTAATTATATATAGATTCTTTAAAATATTGTAATTTAAATTTTAATATTTTTGTAATCTAAAAATTTATTTCATCCCTTTAAAATTGAATATTTTATAATTTATGAATTTATTTTAGCTTTTCAAATTGAATATTTTGTATTCTATCACTTCATTCTACCTTTAAGATTTTAATTTATCAATTTATTATATATTTTTAAATTCTACCTTTTTAAAAAATTGTAATTTAAATTTTATTACTTTTCCTAAAATTATTAAATGAATTAAAAAATATATTCCCTCTATTTTTATTTGTTAGAGAACTATAATTTTTTATTTTTTTTATAAGAAAAATTATATATTATAATAAGTATTTATTATAAATTTTTTAAATTATTCCTCATGATTTATATTAACAAGAAATAATTAATGTATCCCTCATAATTTATTACAAGGCGTGTCAAGCATAGATGTTTCCTCGTTTTTTCTTTGTTAGGTATATAATGAAGTATTGATATTTTAAATTGCTATATACATATCCGTATTGGTTTCATATCCAATGTCAATGCTTCTTTGATATGAATTCAATACTTTTAAATTGTGAATTAATATTTTAAAGTTAATGCTTCAAGAATTTTTAAAAAAATTGAATTTTATTAAAAATTGTGATATTAATATTTTTTTTATTTATAATATATTTTTATGATTTGTTTTAAAGTTAAAGATTATATTCTCCTTACAAATAAATTTTAGATATAATGTAATATAATTTTAGTTTACAAACTTCAGTTCATTCTAAGGGGGACTTTTTGTAATCCAAACATATCCTAATACCTTTTACTGATACAATACATACATACATACACGCATACTGAATTTTATCTCCAAACCTATTTTAAGAATGTTGTTAATTTCACAAAGGCCGTGAATTTCATACAATAATTAGATTGGAAAACTTGACCTTAATTTTCTTTTTCCTTTTACCCACGAAATTGAACTTAAATATAAATCATACCCAGTATATATATAGGAGTTTCCTCCATTTTGCTTTATTAGTTCTATAAAGCATTGATGCTTCAAATTATCATACATCTATGTTGGTATCATATCTAATACTGATACTAACTAAATCTTCTTCAATAAGTATATATATGATACATTTGGATTTTCTGAGTTAATATTTTAAAGTCGATACTCCCAAATTATTTTTAAGAAAATAAATTTTGTTAAATATTGTGATATTAATATTTTTTCTTCTAATTTATTTTTTTGATTTTCTTTTAAAGTCAAAGATCATATTTTCGGTGGAAAATAAATTTTAGATAAAATAAAAAGATAAAGATTATATTTTCTTAACTATAAAACGCAAGAATGTAATCTATTGGCCTATAAAACCTTAGCAAAGAACTATTAGCCGAGACTAGGTTGTAGATAATTAAGTATGGATAGAATAAAAATATAATTAATGATTATATTTTATTTGACATTCCTATAAAGCACTATATAACTATGTCAATTTGAATATTGTTTGAATTAAAATTATATTTTTAATAGTTTTATGTATTATGTGTGTGCGCACGCACGCATATTGGATTAATTAGTATCGTATCTTACATATTTTAAAAAAAATGAAATTAGCAACGTATTGAATACGTATTGTATTTATGCATCAAAATGATAAAGGTAGTGAAACAAAGAATAAAGTGCAACAAAATGCTCTTCACTAATATATCAAATAGTTTAGAGAGAATAATTTTTTTTTAAGAAGATTGAAGAAACGAATTTAAGGCACCGAGAATCATCAATATATCTTAGAAAGCAATTCCACCAAGCCATTGCAAGAATTGTGGCTCCTCTCACAAGTTACTGTTCATAAAGCCGTTTAAGCCACCTAAGTCACATAGCTTGTTGAAACTGATGGCTTCTTTTTGGGCTTTCTGCAGGTAAGCTTAACATCATGCTTTTTTCTTTTTGTTTTTCTTTTTTTAATCCATGTTGTCTATTTGAGAGGTGCTCCAAAATTTAAATCTTATCATAAATTATGATAAAGCTGATTTTTTAAATTTTTTTAATCAATTCTATATGCTCCATCTTATTTTTATCCCTTCTCAAAGGTTAAAGAATTAGTAGTTATCAATTTTTTTCATCATGAAATTTGTTCCTTTAATTTAATCTAAAACTTTCAGTTGTTTTTAAAAATAAAAGGAAAAAAAAAAAGAAAAATTAAGCACCTTCATAAATAAAATTTAGAAATAAAAATTGTTACAAAATAATAAAAAATATTTTTGTTATTTTAATAACATTTTTTAAAAAAACTAAATCAAAAATATAACCTTATAAAATTTTTAAGATTGAATAAATATTATTATTTCTTAATCTTCTTTCCTCTCTTTCAAAACTGAAAATTGATAAACATTATTATTACTAATTAATTATGCTTTAAGATAAAATTCACTCATTAAAAAATAAAAAAATGAAATGCGTCTAATGTTAAAAATAACACATTATCCAAAAAAGCCTGATACATTTCCATTTTCCTGACTACTTTCAGACAACACAGAAAAAAGGTAATATGAAGCATAACAAGGTGGAGCAATGTCTAAGCAGGATGAAAAAGACCGTGCCTTTTTTTATCTTTTTTCCTTCCTCAAGGCATCTCTGCTCTTTCTCTGTATCTGTTCATCTCTTTCTGCCTTATTCATCTCGTGGTTCTTAAGTCGCGATCATCGTGAGCTGGAACATCGCAGTCGTACTGGAGAACGGAATCGCAGATAGAGTCGCACAAAAGGAGATAGAAGTCTGATGATCGGGGCAGAGGTCATCAAAAAAGCAAGCTAATGCATGAAGTGGAGGCTGGAGATCCTCGCTCCCTTCAACTACTTAAAGGAGAGGCCGAGATATGATAGAGGGGGAGTAACCTGGTAGATGGTTTTATTAAAAAAAAAAAAAAAGGAAGAGTTGGCATGAAGGAAGTTATAGAGCAGAGAGAGACGATCGGTGGTGACCCAAATCGCAGAGAAAGGAACTTTAAACTGTAAGCCATATCCTCTGGTTTCTTGTGTTTCTCTTACTATCCTTCAGATGGTTATCTCTCGAATCATTTGATGGCTTCGCATTAGTTATTGTATCTTTACCATCATAGACATAAGTGGTCTCTCTGCATCAGGCTATGATGAGAAAGGGATGTATCTTCTGCATTATTTATTTATGCTTGGCATTAGTTATTGTATCTTTCTCAATTTATGCTTGGCATGGTTTCTTGGTTCTTTAGGGGGATGTCAGGAATGTTCTCAAGGTTGGTCAGAAGTGTTTGAGAGGGCATGGCAGTGGTATTTGTGAGAATTTATTTTTTATATGACGATAAATGTTAATGACTCTTGATGATATTTAAAAATAAGAGTCTCAATTTCGAAAGGGAGACCATTAATTATCTTGGTTAAATAATCCATGGATATTTATATATTTATAGCCTTGCTTCACCGGATAAGGTTCATTCACCTACTTTTCCAATTAGATTGCAGCCAAGCTCAAGAAGATTGCAGAACTTACTCAGAAGCTGCAAGTCATGTAGCAGACCAGGTTTTGTTCCCCCGCTTTTCCAATTACATTGCATGGATATTTCTTCTCAGGTTGTTTCTGTCTGTGATTATTAATTAGGCCCTTCATTTTGCTACCTTATATGACACCTCTTACCCAAGATATGAGGTTTTTAAGGGTCTAGCTATTATCATTTCACTGCTCATTCCAAGTGGTTAGTTTTTAGAAAAAAATTATTGAGTTGGTAGATCCTTAAAATATGAAAATTAAGAACTATCAAACTTGCATGATAACAAGGACATTGAAGATAACGTGTCTCATCTGGTTTGGCCCAACAAAGGTACGTCTATTCCAATTTTAAGAGCAAAATAGGAATAAAGTAGAATCTGGTCAGCCTAACATAAATGCAGAACTTCATTTTCTTTTTGGATAAAAATAAAAAGGTTATTAGAAGAAAAGGTAACTGGAGTATAAGACATCCTCCTAGGATTCAAATCTTACTGCCCTGTTCATGCTTTTTCAATTCTTAGTTTAAGCGTTCTGAGCAATGTTTAAGCTTAGATAAAGGTACCTCTAACTCTTAATTTTCTCATCAATTAATGTGCTTAGGGAAGTCTCACATGCATATAGTGCAAGTTAGTTCATTACAAGATCACAGAAGAACAGGATAGATTAGAAAAATGTAAATATTGAAAGGAGGAAGGTGGCTCAATTGGCTTTGAGAAAAAGGACCATTTCTTCATTAAAAAATATTTTTACTTTCAGAATGTAAGCATAGTTTTATATTTTAACATTAACTGATCTGGAAATGAGGCATCACATAATTCCTTTTCCATATGACATATTTTAAACTAATGGCGAGGTAACCTGAAACTTCACGGTGATAATTAGTTGTCCCTTAATATTTCCTTGCAGGAATTAAGTGGAGGAAAGGAGAAAATTGCAGGTGAATCAACTACTATGCCGCTCACATTCCGTGTGGTACTACATATCAATCCTTACTTGTAGAGGATTACACATAGAATCAAAATAAAAACTTTTTCCGGAAACCAAGCCCCATGTAATTAGTTTCTCTTTTGCAGTTTTAATATTTTTTTCCCCCTGAAGGAAGAACCTTCTGTTTTATATGCACAAAATTTATATGTATTTGAGATAGACTCATTAAACTTAAGCATATACCTCATATAGATTTCTCTTCACCTGATCACTAAGTAGATATGTTTTTCCTCTTCACTATTTTTTTTTCCTGAAGGAAATGTGAACAAAATATGTATGTATTTGATCATTACATAACTTGATCACTAAATACACGTTTCTCTTCACTTTTTCTCCTCAAGGAAATTGAACAAAATGTATATGTATTTGAGGTAGATTTAAGCATAAGCATATACATCTTATAGATTTCAGTAAGTTGCACTTATGGCTTATGTTTATTGAGTTTATCTAACTTTTTTGCACTTGAAAGATTATAATTTGTCATCTGAATTTTTTCATTTCATCTTTATTATGCTTAGGAAAACATAATGGTCAATAGTTACTTTGTTATATGTATTAAAAATAATTCAAAGTTTTTGAGTTGCAGGATGCACTTAATAATTGTAGAAAATGGCTGACAGGGAGCTTCTTGCTCTTAATAAGAGCTTCAGAAGGAAATAGGATGGCAAGGTGAGAGGACCCTTCAACAAATTTTAGGTATGGAATCAAATTAATATATTTTGACTCTGAAGAGGGAATATGTGGAGCAGATAGAGTTAGTTTAAGGGAGCAACTGGTAATGAAATTTTAGAGCATTGATTTTGTGGCGTGGAC